AAAGGAAAACTTTAGCCGGCAACATGTTGCAGAGTTTGCGTGGGCGAAGCTGAAATGGCTATGTGTGCGCGGGGCAAATGTGGATGTATGAAGAATTCCTTTTTTGCGTGTATTATCACATTTATATATATATATATATATATATATATATATATATATATATATATATATTTGTACATTATAATTATTTTATTATATATATATATATATATATATATATTATTATATATATATAAATATATATTATTATATATATATATATATATATATATATATATATATATATATATAGCTGCAAGTTGGCTGCCTTGACGATGTCCTTGAATTCAATTCCAATTTCAATTCTTTGTTTTGGCAATGCTGCATTTTACATAGTGCCCAAGCATTTAACTATTTGATTTAATCATTTAAAACACACAACATTTCTGGGAAAGCTCTCTGTTCACAGATGTGCAATATAAAACTGTTTTGTATATTCCACAGTGTTACAGCAATATTCAATACAGTAATGGGTTCTTTGTATTTACCTACGACTTAAGATAACTTTACGGATTGGACTTTGTTCAAAACAGGAAATAAGTACAGTTTTACTTATTTCGGTCATTTGTTTTTCATTGTTTTTTGTGTCATTTGATTCTAAGTCTATAGCACATAAGTACGTTAGTATTGTTGGAGTGCATCAATAAATCATATATGCAGCAATGGATGGTCTAGGAGAGAAGAGAGCATATAGATTAAGTTCCGCTCTTAACGTTAATGGATGTTTTGTTTTAATTAAGGTACCCTATTATTTCGTGATTGTGCTTACATTCTGGCTGCTGCTTATCTTATATACATTAAAACGGCAGTTCCATTGCTATAAGCGAAGACGACAGATCTTTCACATCAAGAAATTACAATTGGAGGTACGAAAAAATCTTAAAAGGGAGCAGTTGACCTTCGACTCAGCCAGGAATATTTTGCATGCAAGCATGGTGCAAACTGGCACTAGGAAAATAGCCCAGCTGACGGATCTACATACTCTACTTCAGGATATAAACAACCAATTGGAAAAATTGCATAATGCGCTGGATTTTAACTAATTGCAACTAAAACGCCAGCGGCAAAGTCATAATAATAAAATTATTAGTTCTTGGGTTTAAGAGTAAATGAATATACACATTATTTTGAGAATAATTTGTTAAATCACAACAATGCAAAGGCAACGAACGTTAAAGTCTAAACCTAAAAGGCTTCTACGATATACCTTTAGGGCTTCATGAAGCCGCGCGACCAGTTCTTTACCATAGGCTTCGGCTTACTCAACTTCTCAAATTCATCGGCCTGCATCTGTTCACAAAGCTTTCGTTGATTTTCGCGAAACTTAGCAATGGGCTCCTCAAACTGGTTATAATATTGAAGAACCTCCCGCACATCGTCCACTTCACTGCTTCCGAGCACGCTTAGGAACGAGATTAGATCAAATAATGTTGTGTCATCGTCGTTTCCAGACCAGCGTGGTATTGAAAATGTGTTTCCCGGGTGCATTTTTGTCGAGTTTTTGTCCCAGTCTACGACTACCACGCGCTTGAGATCGCGATTCAGATTATCAAGATTCTTCACGTGGTGGCCACCAACGAAGTGAGTTGAATCACGCACAAGACGGTACATTATATAGCCGCTGGGATCGAGGGCATCAAGCAGCGGAAAAACAGTCATTCCTTGCTCGGCTGTATATACAACAATCTCAAAATACTTTGAACATTCCCTCAAGAAAACGTCCACGCCAGGACGTTTTTTAAAACGCCACCCCGTTTGATAAGTCCAATCGGGATGTATAAGCAGGTCCTTAACCTCAAGTACCAGTGTGTAGGGGGGTTGAACATAAGGTGCCTGTAGCGGGTCAGGCAGCAATTTCTGGCTTGAGGGTTCCTGAATGAACCTTTGAAAATGATTAAGCGACTTAAAAGTACGTGCCATGTATTGCTTAACCAGCGGCAAAGAACTGAACTCGTCCGTAACTTCGTTTCCTTGTTCATCAAGTGACGGCTTACCAAAGAAGTAAATAGCCCAAAAAGAGAAGATCACACCTCCCACACCAAAGACCCCAAACCCTATTTTCATACGCTTCCAGGCCCGCTCCATTTCCCTAAGTTCTTCCTCTTCCTCACGCTTACGTCGATCACGACTCGCCTCATCGTCAAGCTCCATTGATGTCTGCGGAAATAATTTAGACAGTATCTGCGTTGATGTTTTCTCACATGTTGAGTAGCGGCGGTGTATCAAATACACAAGATGCGGGGGTTCTAAATAGTTAGAATATATATTGCAGGGGGGCATATACACTCCCTTTTCTGTGCACTTAATTCCCGCCTGTGTCTGTAGCATGACACTATTAATCATGGTGTGCCATAAGCCTGATGTGAGCGCACGAGAAGTATTTATGAGCTTGCGGCTGAAGCGTGAGCCCCCGTACAGCATTCGCCCTATTGCGATTGGAGTCATTTGCAAATTGCAACGTATGTCTGCAGATTCAAATAAATGAATTATTTTGATTTTCCAATTTACGAAATGGCCACTGAAAAATTTGACATTTTTGTTTAAATCAGCCGAGGATTTTTTTTTAGTTTTGTGGTTTTTCATAAATTGTCACCAGTCAATGACAGTTAAAGTATGCTTGCTGAGCGATTTGAAGTCATACAACATTTTTCTTGTTTTTAAGTCGAATATACTTAAATATATAATTAAATTGGACAATAAGAAAAGTAACGCTAGGTAAATAATTATGTATAAGCATAATAGGATTGACTCAATATATTTATTTTATCTCCTTATTATTAAGAAAAATATTTAATATTCCAAAATGTTTTAAAATTGCTAATAATGAAAAACAAAACTTTCATTTACTAAATGCTTTGAAACAAATGTTGCAGTTCGTTCTGGTTTCGGCGTATATGGTGGTGGTATAGATATTTATAATCCAAAAAAGACAAATATTTTTATAATTCTTTGAAAACATTATTTCAGTACATTCTGGACGCATTGAAAGCCGTCCACGTCGTAGTGGCGGTCTAAACCGAGGTGCTGATGCTGAAAACGATGATTTTGGCAGTATGTAGCATTATTTGTATCTTATATCAATTAATAATTATTCGCTTAGGCATGAACAATATTAACTGGTCGGACATGCGACTTCAGCCATTTCAGAAAAGCTTTTACCAGGAACATCCAAAAAATCGTAATCGTTCATCACAGGAAGTTGATTGCTACCGTACCCAGCATCAAATCACCATATGGGGTCTGGCTCCCAACCCTATCCAGTGTTTTGATGAAGCTTGCTTTCCAGAATATTGTATGAACGAAATACGACGTCAGCGCTACATAGAACCCACACCAATTCAAGCCCAATCGTGGCCAATAGTTATGTCAGGGAACAACTTGGTTGGCATAGCTAAGACAGGTTCAGGCAAGACGCTGGCTTTTATACTACCTGCCATAGTACACATCAGAGGTCAAGCGCCATTAGAGCGTGGTGGGGGTCCCATAGCACTTGTACTAGCTCCCACGCGCGAACTGGCTCAGCAAATTCAGTCGGTGGCCAATGATTTTGGCTCCAGCTCCTCTGTACGCAATACATGTATTTTTGGCGGATCACCGCGTACTAAGCAAGCCAGTGACTTGCAACGTGGCGTCGAAATTGTGATTGCCACACCGGGCCGCTTGCTTGATTTTTTACAAGCCGGTACAACAAATTTGCGTCGCTGCACATACCTTGTATTAGACGAGGCTGACCGTATGATGGACATGGGCTTTGAGCCGCAGATACGTAAAATATTTGGCCAAATCAGGCCAGACCGTCAAACACTGATGTGGAGCGCAACTTGGCCAAAAGAAGTACGCCAACTGGCAGAAGACTTCCTCGGCAACTACATACATGTAAGTTTGAATTGATAGCGTTTTTTAATGTAGTTTATATCTCGACAATTTACAAAGATAAACATCGGCTCAATGGAACTGTCAGCCAACCACAACATTCGACAGTATGTAGAAGTTTGCGCTGAGCATGAGAAAGGCGCAAAATTAAAAGATCTGTTATCACACATTTATGACCAGGCCGCTATGCCAGGAAAGATTATCATATTTGTAGCCACAAAAAAAAAGGTGGATAAACTGGCACGGTTCATAAATGCTTTAGGCGTTAGTGTGGGTTCCATACATGGCGACAAATCCCAGATGGATCGTGACAATGTGCTTAATGACTTTCGTAGCGGCCGTGCCAATATATTAGTGGCAACCGATGTGGCAGCACGTGGCCTTGATATCGATGGCATTAAGTATGTCATTAACTTTGATTTTCCACAATCATCAGAAGATTACATACATCGAATTGGGCGCACTGGACGGAATCGTTCTACAGGAACATCGTATGCGTTCTTTACACGAAAAAACGCCAAATGTGCACGCGCATTAATTGAGGTCCTGCGGGAGGCAAATCAAATCGTAAATCCAGAATTGGAATACATAGCACAAGATGCGGGCGGTGGCAGTGGGCGCAGTCGTGGTGGCCGGGGATCTGTTAGAAGTTATGTCGGAGGCGGCAATGGATCATCCGGAAGTTCTAATGCTTTCAGTTCCTACCGTGGCTCTTTAAGTGGCTTTAACGCGTTTAGCGAATCTGGCAATCGCTTTGATCCATCATGCACGGCCAGGAGTTTCAACACCGAACGGGGATTCAGTAGCAGCACCGCCCAAAGAAGCTATAGCGGTGGTGCGCTTGGTGGTAGTGCTGGGTTTTCAAACGGTAACAGATACTCAAACTCTGCGCGCCATTAGGAAAAATGAATAGGATTATTAAATTTTCATTTTAGGTGTTTTATACTTTAGCTCACTATCATCTTGCTTATTTATTGCCACGCAAGAGTATGAGTACAATTTTGATAAAGGTTTTTATCCATCAACCATATAAAAATAATATACAAATAAAATTTTCATGAAAACATACATTTTAAACAGTTTAAAAATATAAATAAAATATATAATTTGCCTGCTTAATGCGCGCCGAACTTTACGTATACTTTTTAAACTTAAAACTACTATATTTTGTGCTGTTGCTAAATACATTGTTGATTTATAACCTTACCTATTTGACCCATTAAGCTGGAGTCGGCGTCTGGCGGGTACCTGCGATTTCTCAAAGATTAGTAAAGACTTTGTATTGTAGTCGCAGTAGTTACCTTTCTCCTTGTGCTTACGCACCTTGGAAGAGCGAACGCTGGTAGCTGTTTTTTTTTCTATAGCACCAGGAGTGCACTTTTTGTTGTTAATGTGAACGAGGTCGCAGCTGTGTTGAGTATCATCTTCAGATGCCTTTAATTTCTCCTCACGTGTCATTTGTCCAGCTATACATTCTGACCAGGGTCCCTTTTCATACCGGCAAGCTTAAAAAATCCGAAAATGTGACAAATCAATATATGAAATATATTGCTTTGCTGCCAACATTGCTATTAACTAACTTTTAATTTTACTAACCTTTCTTGCACTTTTTCTGTATGGTCCTAGTGGGTGGACACTGGGACTCACCCCTTTTCAAAGATAGAGTACGCGTGCGCATGTTAGTTTTAGCATCACAATCCGTCCATGAACTCTTTGCATAACGACAAGATGGTGCTGTGTGAAGAATATAATATTATTTATTTTAATAATTAACGTGAATGTTTATGACCAGTTAATAAACGTTGGGGTAAAATCTGAAGAATGTAGTTGACTCGACTTTGCAAGAATATGCATTTGAGAAAGATCTACGATTATTTCTGCAAAATCTAAATGTATGTAAAAGGCAGAAGGAAGCAAGTCTGCAACCCTTTAAAGTATATATATTTTTGATCAGCATCATATATACTTTATGAGGTCGGAGATGCTCCCTTCTGCATTTTACATACATTTTCATTTTGCACCAATACAATATACCCTTTTCACCCAATTTCAATGGGTTCAGGGTGAAAAAATGAACATTATAAAATATTTGGAGTCGAGGTTTTTAAGCTTACCATTTTGTGTGGTCCTTGCCCTTGCTCCCGATCTTTTGCCTGAACGATGCTGATGTTCCGCATTTTTAGGCTTTAGGAAATGTCGCGGCTGCACCATCAGAACATCCTTACCAATGGGTAGAGATGATTGCTTTAAGCTTGACTTACGAGAACCTGCTGCACCAGCGCGCTGCATCTGATTGTTCGGATTGTTTCCTTTTTTATTGTTTTTTACACGTTTATTTCCACCAACTGTAGTAGTTACAGGCACTGTAGCCAACTTTTCAGTTGCAGCTTCACGCGCTGTACGCACTGTCACGTCACCAGAGTGATTTTCCATAACCAGTTTCGCACCCCTAGCGAGCTCAGTCAGAGGAATAGCACTGTTTTTCCCACTACCATGATGCTCATGACTATAAATCAACATGGGCATCAGCAGCACTGTTGCTAGCAACAAATGGATCATGGCGTGTGTGGACACGGTTTTTAAAAGAATCATTTCAGTTGGCCAGCTATGTACTCTGGCTCCCTAAGAAAAGCAGACATAAAAATAAAAACGCGGTTAATTATTAGACTATTACACTTTAACTGGGTGTGTATAAAAAAATTGAGGCAAACGACCTATTTTGCATTAATAGTTTAGCAAATAAATACACATTTATTTATAATATAGGTCTTTTTTATGTCTGCTAAGTAACATTGCTTAACTTTTTATCCAAGCAAGCAACTAAAGGCGAAAAAATTAAATGGAAAAAAGAATAAATTTAATTATACTAGGTCGAAATTAAATATATTTTGCTTAGTAAGAAGAAGTAATTAGGTAAAAGCCATTTAAAAAACGGACTTGAAACTCAGATTCTTAAACAATTAAATTTGCAGCGTACCCAGAAAAACTTCAAAAATCCAACTTAAAACAAACAAAGCAACTAAAAAACCAACCAAAGGGCACAAGTGGCGTCGCATAGCACCACCAAAAAAAATTTCAACTAAATGTATTTGCAACTAGTCAACTTAGTTGTAAACTTTAGTGTAGTCAAAACACGCACTTGTAGTTGAGAAACATCCTTAAATAAAGAAGCTTATGGCAATCGTATTTATATATATATACTTTTTTTTTAAATAACATTCAGATTATTAACGAATTGTCTGCAGTCAGAACTCATTAGAAAATCTAGTTTTAAACAATTTCATTGTGGATATTGCACATCTGGTGAACATGCAAAGGGGACCTGGCATTCCTCTCACTCATTTTTAAGGCAATCAGTAAATTAATTTATGAATAAGTTGTCTGATGTAAATTTTTTGTAAGCTGTCTATGCATATATAAAATCTGCAATCAAAGAACGGCCACTGGAAGGAGCTGCATCAACGATTTTATATTTTATTTTAATTTATTTAAAGGGATCCAATTGAATTGCCTTGTCTGGAGGCATGTATAAAGTATTTGAGACCAATTGACTTCAGTCTTTCAAAACGGATACATTTTTATGTGTACGAACTATTTGCACAGGCAGTTGTAGTTAAGCAATTGACGCTTGTTTAAAGTTCAGAGCAGACAATACATGAAGTGGAATGAAAGCGAATTCCAAGGGTTCCATAGCGAGTACTTTTACCTATTTAATACCCTGCAAATGGTTCCCAAATTTGAATTTGCAAATAGTTCTTCCGAATATTAAGCTTATTTTAAAATAACGATAACTTAACTTTTCAATAAAAAGTGGTATCAATATTTTGTTCTTTGGGTAATCTAGGAGTTTATAAGGCTAGAGACACTTAATTGAGGATATAGAATAGGGTCTACACCACTTCACTTTACATAATAAATAAATACTAATAAGTAAATATTCCAATAGATTATCAATTTATAATCGAAACAGGCGATAGATAAAAGCAACGCTGGTATTTTGCCAAAATCCTGGCATATGTATGTATTACTGTTCATTCATCCTATGCGTTTCCTTAGAGAGTATACATATATTATTATACTTCTCTTCAGTCCTGAACCACTTTGCTGTCACGCTGCCCTTTTATTGTAGAGTATACATATATTATTATACTTCTCTTCAGTCCTGAACCACTTTGCTGTCACGCTGCCCTTTTATTGTAGATTCAGCTTATAAATTATGCATACACCACTAAAAAAGGATCTGGATCTTATATTTTCCGAGAAACGCTCGAAAATCGAGGTTGAATATACATCAAAGAAACTGTGCTTATATCGATTCATAAATATAAAAAAATTCTAATCTGCGTATGGTTTAAGAAACGTGGTATAAGAGGGAGAAGAAATACAAAGAATTTGCATTTAACTCCATAATTCATTGTCTTTATACAAATAAAACAAGGAAGAGGTTCTTGTCAGGAGCTCCCGACTAGGGAATACTCTGAACCCTCTTATTTCAACACAAACAAGTAAGAGGTTCTAGTCGGGAGCTCCCGACTAGGGGATACCCTGAAACCTCTTCTTCCAAAATCAAACGCATATATATATTCTATTTTAAAAGCTATATGTTAAGTTTGGCGACTCTAGCTCTTATTATTTACCAAAATTGCCCAAAAAACAGGATATCGATAGGTTAAGTAAGCATCATAGTGTGCATTTATGAACTAACTAAATCGCAAAAACGATTTAATACACTATGAATTAAAAAATTGTTTTTCTTTTTTGTTTTTATTGGTTGCTTCTTTTAAACGTAATTAAGTTAGTAAGTTTTAAGAATCAGGAGGAGTTTTTAGCAATTATGGTGTGAAACTTGATCTCTGTCACTGAGCGCTAGAATTTTTAGAAATTTAGGTAAAGAATTTTTCGGATATTACCGCGCACCATTTACAAAAACACGGGAGAGACTCACTCAAAAGGTCCTCTTTTACCCGAGGTTACTGCTCTGTTGCAATTCCGTCAGAACTAAGTTTAAAATCTCAATTAGCAAAAGCTTTAAAAATAATTTTCACTTAACTGCGCGTTGCCGTGGCCGATCAACACGCTCCAGAGCTGGGCGAGAACTGAGTGAAGCTGGCATATGCTGCGGCTGGTGACGCTGCAAGTAACAAACAACACTTGAAATACGAGAGGCAACAAAATAACTCAGCTTGCCACACACTCAATGCACTGAGCGGAATTTCAATGGAGTTTAAGGTGACTTATTCTCTTTCATCACCACTCTTTGGGATTGGTATCTATTAGTATAGACATAACTAAATATATATGGCATTTAGTCTTATCGACAACCAATGACATTTGTGTTATTGTGGTGCAACGTTCCAGCAGTTACTGCCGTGACAAGTGTCATAAGCATCAGGCTGTTTTTTTCATATGATTGATGGAGAGCAAATGCATTTAATTTCAGATAAGACGGAATGAGTTTAAAAATAAAATAAATAAAAATTATAAATATATATATATATTTATAATTTTGTATGTATATATATATATATATATATATATATATATATATATATGTATATTTGCAAATATAACGTAAAATTATCAGAAATATATATATATATATATATATATATATATATGTATATTTGCAAATATAACGTAAAATTATCAGAAACTGTTTAACATTTTTTTTTAATTATTAAAGTATTAAATACAATTTTAATATTTATTTTCATTTTTCCTAGACAACTTTTATCAAACATATTGAGATTCAATTTTAATGATGGGTTTTATACTCTCCATTCCATGCGGTAGGAAACGAGTTTTGAGTGGATTTTTAGATTGAGTGTATCAGAATCAAGTCATATTTAACGTTCCCAGCAGAGAGCGCATTGTTTTGATGAGATACCAAAAATTGTTTCAAGCAGACTGGAGAAATGCCAAACGTTAAATATCCAGTCAGGCAAGGGAAAAAATGAAAACAAAAATATAAAACAAAAACAAACAAACAAACATTTCGTTGTTGTTGGTTTAGTGAATATATTTATAAGTACACTTGCAGATGCATTATATGTTCAACATACATACATGTATCACATGCTAGTATAAGAAGCGTGAGATTGTACGGCAAACGACGTCGTTGATATGTATTTTCTTCATTTACTTCTTTGTTTACTTTCTTAGTTTATACTTTTCATATACATATATACATATTTATCGGTCTGTTTGTATTGCATGTATGTGTGTCTGCTTGTAAATATATTTGTGGTTGACCAGTCGCTAGAGAGCCCGGAAAGCTGCAGGTTTTTAGACAGTCGAGACAGCAGAGTTCCCTAGCAAAAACGGTTAGCAACTTGGATTTAGCTTCAAATACAATGTGAAGTAGGCTGACATATTTCTGCACACGAGCATTCACCTTCCACTTTTAATCTAAAAATATCTTTGAATTTTCCTCTCTCCGCGCTTGCGTTTTCTGTCTCTCTCACATTCTCTCTTTCTCCGCTTCTCTCTATATCACTATCTCTTGCGTTCTCATTGTTTCTCACACTCTCTCTCTCTCTCTCTCTCTCTCTTTCTCTGTCTCTCTCTCTCTCTTTCGTACTCTATTGTACTCACCGTGTTATCTTGCTCATTTGGTGAGAAATTGTATCTCAATGTGTTGCTATGTGCCAACATTAACTTTTTTCCCGTATTTTCAGGATTTATTAGTGTTAACGGAATTGTTAGTCGCATTCACATATATATACATATAAGTTACTTAGATTATGAAATATACATAGCTATGTATGAATGTATGTGTAATGAGGGAAGCAGTAACAATAATACATATATACCATCGTATGTATGTATATAAATGCAGGAATAAGTGTATACATGTATGTGTTGCCATATTTTCTGGCAATTGCACAGCTTGCATTTATGTACGTATATAAATGACTGCTGCCGTCATTGTTGATGACGTTGCTGATGTGCAAAAATCAGATTTCAATGACAGTGCTAAACATACATACATGTATGTACATACATACATATGTATGTACATTTTTTCAAGCGCACAATCGACTAACAATTGATACTACACGCAATCAGGGGTGACTTAATGGACATCTATACATACATATGTAGATGCAGCTCATTTTCTTGATTATTGTCTTCTCTTTCCTGCACGCTTATAATTATAAATCTTTAAGAGCGTTTTCTGAAAAGGCGTTTTTTTATTTATGAAAGTCTTTAAGTAAATAATATTGTTTTTGTGACAGCTTTACTGTTTACATATACATACATATCTATATTGTATTCAAATGTGAATAGCCGACAACGCAGTATGGACATACTTATGGATGTTTTATGTATGAATATAAGTTAACCAGTTCTGTCCCATATCCCAGTTCTAGCAGCTACAAATGTCAAGTATTAAATTGTCAGTTCTTCGAATTACTTTCTACACGAGCAATGGGAAATTCAATGAAAGAAGTATTTCTGTATGTATATACAAACATATGTATATACATACAGCCACATACATTTACAGTCTGTACGAGATGACAAAAAACCTATTAGCGTGCTTTTCACTCGTAAACGGATTCAGAGGAGACGCACTGATAATATGGTTGTTGAATGTGCCTTCTCTTGTTGACAACTGTATAAAAGCCCTAGCCTACAGCTATCCAAATACGATCCTTATGATTGTCCAATCAAAATATTTTACGTAGATATGCATGCTCATATTATTATGAGAGCATTACTTCTCGATAATATCAATATAAAATGTTATGTTAAATGTTTTCACTCATAAATGATCTACGGAGTTCTATTATTTTACAATTAGCAGAGTTTTTCAGACAAGCCTTTCACCACACCCACTTTGAATAACTATGAAGATATTGTGATTCATTTTATTTTCTTATATCCCTATTTCATATATATATATATATATATATATATATATATATATATATATATATATATCAGTACAATTAGATTATAAGCCATAAACGCAAGACTTTTCTGAATGTTACCGATTATTATAGGAAAATCAAGTTTGGTTTTTAAATATTGAATCTCCGCGCTGCTGTAGCCGGTAAAAACTAACTGCCAAAACATTATTCAACACATTTTTTAAAAAGCAAAAATAACTTTCTGATAAAATACTTACATTTATGTACGTAATTGGGTTCACAAAAATCAATTGCAAGCCCTGGAGCCTTGAATTTGGGCTGTAATTTTGGGAAAGTTACATTAGTTAGCTTAATCCAGAAATTTGTTACCTATCTCGCTAACGTTTACACATCTGCGAACCGTATACACTTCCAGCAGAGCCACAATTAAGTACAGTCACTTATAAACATCCAAGTACTTAACTTCCATTAAATTTGATTTTACCAAACAACCATTAACATCCAATTATAATGAACAATTTTAATCAATACTTTTTTGTATATCCTGAACCCATTGAACATTAAAAAGGTTTTAATGCTATTGTGTAAATGCAAGTTGACCGAAAAGGCAGCAGAATATCCTAGATAAACTATTATAGATTATGTTTTTATTTAAATCCTTGTCAAGTTTTTATTTATAATATTTTATGAAATTGCAGTTTTTTTGTTCAATTTTGCCTTTCATTGTATTCTTAATGTATGTGTGTAAAATGACTATATTGTATGTATATAATTTCTGATTTACTTGTCGTGTCTTCGAGCTTTCAAGGCTTACCGATAGAATAAAAATAATTTCAGTTAAGTACATTTGATATTAAATATTCATATAAATTTGTTTTGCAACTCTTACATATACATATGTGTGATTTTACATAATTATATGAATCCACACATATTTATACATAAGCTCTAATTGATCATGCAGTTATCGTTTGTATTATAATGGCTATGGTTGCATTTTTTTTAAATACTTAAACAACTCTACTATTTTAAATAAATGTACTTTGTTTAAGAAAGAACAAGATATTAAATTCATTTTTAAATACTATTATAATTATCAGCTAAAACTGAAACGACTTTTTCTGTGGGAAGGGTTTTCCGTACTGCATGATTTTTTTCGGAAAATTATATTTTTCTCACCTTTTATAATTCAAACTGAAATAAAATTGAAATTGAAAAAAAAATCTAGTTTGTGTGAGAGATATTTGTATGTAGATACATTTTCGGGGGTTTTATGTTAGATTTTTAAAATACGCAATCGCATTATCTAATGCTCTTACGATTACCAATCGGCCAATGTCCCTTTGTTACTTTGCAATACTATTGTATTACTTTTTACAATATTTACACTAAGTGTTTTATTAAATTTTTGCATTTATTGTATGTCTAAATTGTATATGTATTCTTATATCAATTATACGTGCCGCTGTTTTTTCTGTTCTCTTTTATTGAGATCAAATACAGAAGCTGATATTTTCAGACGAACGTTTTACATCAATTATGTTTGAATAACTTTTGTTTAAATATGGGAAGGTTTATATTAATGTAGGTGTAAAGTTATTTTAAGAATAACTCGGCTAATGCTTTATATGAATTGTCGGACAATCTTCCGGGCTATAAAAATTCCTATCTGCCGGATCAGTCGTATTGTTTTTTTTTTTTTTTTTCATTTGGAGAAACTTGAATAAACTGAACTGCCATGGTTGCAAATATCAATCGCAAATTCTTGCAAACTTTTTCTTTAGTGTAGATTTTAGTTTATTCCGTTATTTTATATAAATTGTTTAAATGAAATCTACAATTTTTTAAATGTGTTCAAATATAATTTTTACGGTTATCCATTAAGTGGGTTTATTTTTTACGATTTTATTTAGTATTCTTATATTTTGAAAAACGAGCTGCAGGGAAAAATCTAACATCTGACTTTAAAAAAAATTAGTCTTTGCTACCAGATTACTTAAACACGTCCTTTGCGAGCAGCTGCAGGTAAGATAAGATACCCAAAAAATAAATATAATCTTATAATGCCTGTTATAGTGTCTTAAGTATGCTCTGTCTTCATATCTAAAAATTCGATTACTAACCTTTATCCTTATTTTTGCGCTGCTCCTTGGCAGTCTTATCCTTGGACTTGCCGGGCTTACAGTTCTTCTTAATCAAACGTGTTGCTTCGCATGAAGGATCGCTAGTGACCTTTAACTTATCAGCTCTGGTCATCTGTCCAGTAGTGCATTCAGACCAAGAGCCCTTCTCATAACGACACGCTGAAATTCATTTAAGAAAAATACATAATTTGTTTTATATTAACCCATTTTCTTAGTAGATTTATATCACATTTTTACCCTTCTTGCACTTTTTTTGAATAGTGCGAGTTTGATCGCAAGCTGGGTCGCCCTTTTTCAATGTCAAAGTTCGAGAACGAGTATTAGTTTTAGTATCACATTCAGTCCATGGGTTTTTGCCATAACGACATGAGAGGCCTGTGAAGCAAAGTTTAATATCATTAGAAACAATTTAATTCTCTATAATAAAGGTCGCTTATAAAAAAAGTTAACAACTGAGCTCACCATCGCTCTTTGTCCCGCGTTCGTTGCGTATTAAGACCTCGTGATCATCCTCTTCCCAAACCTCCCCCTGTATAGCTGTTGTGGGTTGAGTCAGCTCGGCCACGGGCAGAGCTAGTGGCGTCTCCTGCCCCTCTGTAGTTCCAAACACAAAATTAGACATCAAAGCTGACCATGTTAAGATCGCAGCCACCCAGAACCCTTTGCAATTATGACTCATTGTACGAGTGTTGATTGCCTACAATTTTAAGCCGTAAATGTACACTTTTATTTTTGTATGGCATTAATTAATGTGGTAAAATATCGTATGATTAAATTAGCTTAATAGCAATGACCAATACCGTTTTAGATACTTTTCCTTTGCAACACTGCTTCAGTCACTCGTTTTGTTTTTGTTTTTAAAAAAATTGCATTATTCATCAATTTAACTGAATTTATGAGCAATGCTTTGCAGTTGCCATACTGACTCGGACAATTTTAATAATTTTTTATAGTTTTTTTACTAGTCTTTAAATTAATGATCTATGAAGTGTAGCCTTAATAGCTGTTTTGATAAGTTGGGATTAGGAACATTAAATGTATGTAAAATTTGTGGACAGCAAAAAAATTGATTTATACTTATTACTAAAAAGTAAATATACACACATCAGCTTACAGAATCTAAAGCATCTGAAAGCTAAATGAAAATTCTTTGTGCTTACCCTCTGCATACAATTTCCTTAGTATCGCTCAACTATGTAAAGAGTGACGCAATACGCGCAGTATATTTGTTAATCCAGACAATCACACTAAAATTGTAAAAAATCAAGAACAATACACACAAATAGAAACAGATACAAAATATATTTGCTTTTAAATTAAAATATTTGAACTCTTGGATTTCTTATATCCTTTGATTCGGATTCAAAAATGGCTAACTGCGTAGCACTAAATTGAAACACAATTCTTAAACTAACAGTTATACACACACAAAACGCTCCTCCACCACACACACTAAAGTAGCCAATTGACTATGGCGCTGACTGGGGATGAGACTGAGCGCAGAAAAAGAATTTGTTCTGGGAATTTTTCTGAACTGCTTTCGTTGCGTGTCTCTTTTAAACTGAATAGCAAAATATGCGAAAAGCTGCAAAAGGCCCTGCATAGTATCCTGAAGGATGTTATGCTCTCAACCAGGTGTCATTCTCTTTTCATCTATCTCGCTCTCGCACCGAGGGCTTTTATCATAAAGCTGCGCATGTTCCAAAAATAAACCCCACCATTGCAGCTGCTATGTTTCCTGTTTTAGGATGAAGTCTTGCAATTCAAAGCAAAATATCATGAATTGATTTGCCAATAATTAAAGGTTTTTTTACATTTTAAAAAATTATGAGGACAACCTTATCAGTAAAATTTTTCATCACTGACTGACACATTGCATGGGTTCAAGAGTCCTCTATTATGTAAAGATATGCAGTTGCTATAATTAATCGCTTATGCTCTTTCATTACAGTTGAGCATTTGATGTTAGCCTGTGGTCTCAATGTTTGTTAACATTGAAGTTATTTCATTTATTATATATAATATTAATTAATTTATTGTATACTAGCGGTTATAGCCCGGCCTTGCCCGTGGCACTTATGTTATAAAATCAATGTTCTCGAATAGCTTTGAAATTGATTTTGAAACTGAGAGGACTGTAAATAAACTACTCTCATACAAACGATTTCTGTCATTTTACCACTGTTTTGAGTGGAATTTTCCAAATCGCTGAAACACGTATTCATTACATTCTTATATAGAGCTTTTAAAATAAGTTTGATGTAAATCGAACACTTAAACTTCTCAAAAAACTAGTTTAAAATGTCCTCTCCACTGAAGGAGCTTAGATTTTGCAAAAAATGTGAAACACGTCTCAAATGATTTTTATGTAGGTCCATGCAAATGAATTTGTAGGCAAAAGGCCACCCACCAAATATTTGCCTTCCATTTCCACCGAGGAGGAATGGATTTTTCGAAAAGTGTGAAACACCCCTCTAATGAATTTTAGCAATGATCTTTGAAAATAAGTTTGAGGCCAATCGGATGGTATACAAAAAAGTTTCATACCAACGTTTCTCGCCAATTAACCATTGTTTTGGGTGGAAATTTCCAAATTCCTAAACACGTATTCATTAAGTTCTAATGTAGAGCTTTAAAAATAACTTTGAAGCAAATTGGACACCACTTAAAACTTCGCCCAAAAAATCTTTGAATCGTATTTCTACCGAAGGAGTTTAGATTTTGCGAAAAATGTGAAACACATCTCAAATGATTTTTCGTATAGAGCTTTGAAAATGAAATTGAGCGCGAAACGTCACCCATCAAATCTTTGACCCCCATTTCCACCAAGGAGAAATACATTTTGAAAAAAGTCGGAGACACTCCTTAAATGAATTTGAACAAAGAAATTTGAAATTGAGTTTGAGGCCAATCGGATGGTAAGCAAATTTAACAGGATATCGATATCGATTTTATCGATTGCTTCGAAACGGAGTAAGTTATCGATAATCGGAAATAAACTCGATCTGCGCGGGAACTAGGAGCATCTAAATCTATAATTTTAAGTCTCTAGCTCTTATAGGTTCTGAGATCCTTGCGTTCATACATACGGACGGACGGACGGACGGACGGTCGGACGGACGGACGGACAGACAGACGGACATGGACATATATATACTTGTTGGGGTCGGAGATGCTTCCTTCTGCCTGTTACATACATTTGGATTTCGCACAAATACAATATACCCTTATACCCATTTTTAATGGGTTCAGGGTATAAAAATTTCAGCTTCCTAGATCTTACGGTTTGGGCTGTGCGTTGATCACCAATCAGTCAGTCAGGACAAACCGTTTTATATATAGAGATAAAGCCCTTCCTAGGTTTATTATTATAAAGATGATTAAGCTTTACTTAGTGACAACGTTATTTTACCACAGTATTATTATATTTTTTTATGGATAAGTAAGCATATACACATAAAACTGTTTTTTTTTTATAACATATAGCTTTATAGGTCAAGATATTACAGGTAGATTTCAACTTACCACGGGCGGAAATTTATGTCTAAATTTCAAAGTTATTACTAAGTATGGATAGATATACAAATAAATCTGCGAAGACCATAAAATGTCATAAAATTTAAAAGTATAAACTAATTTAGTCAGATAGTCGCACTAAACGATGGTCGCCTTGACTAACGAACAGCCCCCTTTTATCTAATTTGACGCTTTATTGCTGATTATACAGCTATTCAGTTAGCCTGATTTATTATGATATGCTGCATACTATTTTTATACCCTGAACCCATTAAAAATGGGTATAAGGGTATATTGTATTTGTGCGAAATCCAAATGTATGTAACAGAAGGAAGCATCTCCGACCCCATAAAGTATATATATTCTTGATCAGCATCAATAGCCGAGTCAATCTAGCCATGTCCGTCTGTCTGTCCGTCCGTCCGTCCGTCCTTCCGTCCGTCCGTCCGTCCGTATGTATGAACGCAAGGATCTCAGAACCTATAATTTATAATATTTAGATGCTCCTAGTTCCCGCGCAGATCGAGTTTGTTTCCGATAATCGATAACTTACTCCGTTTCCAAGCAATCGATAAAAATCGATATCGATATCCTGTTTTTTGGGCAATTTTGGTAAATAATAAGAGCTAGAGTCACCAAACTTGACATATAGCTTCTAAAATAGAATATATATATGCATTTGATGTTGGAGGAAGAGGGTTCAGGGTATACCCTAGTCGGGAGCTTCCGACTAGAACCTCTTACTTGTCTTAACTACTATTACTATTTTTTAATCCAAAAACTAAAAGATTGCTATAAAGATATTAGGAAAGGCAAGAAACCAAAAGGAAAGTATTCAATTAATGTCGCTGTCTTTTGATTAATACAGTAATTTTGCTATTAATGCTCCCCCAAAAAAACGCTTGCATAATGTTTAAGACAAATAGTCTAAGACCAACATTTCCCAAGTCTCAAGGAAAAGGCCACAAGCCAAAGCCCATTACTGCATTTGCTGGTGGCCAACGTATGCAGTCAAGCAAAAAATCACGTGCCTGGAATTCATTTGTAATTTAATGTCTATGAAAAAAGCATGTGCGCTTCTCCTAATTGTACAAGTACAACAGTGCACATCACTGCACATTTGAGGCAAAGTTCCAAACAGGAATATACTTATTTCAAAAAACTAAAATTATATTATTACATCTTATATATCTTATATTATTCTTATATATATTATATTATATGTCAACAGACGAGTTAATATAGCCATGTCTGTCTGTCTGTTTTTTTGTTTTGGTTTTTGTAAAAAAAGCTTTTTGAGTTATCAAGATATTTGTGACATCTGCCAAGCTCAGTATTTATTAGTTTCACTATGCTTCTTACAAATATGGACCACTACATATCGGACCAGTGTATCATATGGCTGCCATAGGAACGATAGATCAAAAACTACGTGGCTGTATAAAAAACTTTTTTGCTTATCAAAATATCTTGCCGAACCGGCATTTACTAACTAAGCTGCTTATATAAGTATAAGCCAAATCTTATCAAGATCACACTACTAATTTTATAGCGCTTGTGAAGAATCTTTGTTTTTCAAGATATTTTAATCAAACTCAGCCCTTACGAGTTTTACTAATTTCACATATCTTGAGAATCGTAAAGTAAATGATTTCAAGGATATTCAATTTTCAACGTGCCGAAGATTTTCTATTTTAAAGCAAGCTTTTTTATTCACTTTTCTTGACTTCCAGCAAATAAATATCTCACAATTATTCCTCAGTGTGCTTTATCCCAAAAATGTTGACATTGTAGTCACTTGTATTTATGATACGGATAAAATGGATAAATACAAGTATAAACACAAAATCAAATTTGAAAGTGAGATGAATCCTGTGGGTGAACCGGACTATTTATTTATTACTTGCACTGTCACCCTTATGTGTTAGCGCTTGTTGCTTATAACACACACAAATAATATGAATGCAGTGGCAGCAGCTCCTGCTAAACTCATCGGTTTCGGAGAGCCTAAGGCATGAAAAAACCAGTAAGAGGCTCTAGTCGGGAGCTCTCGACTAGGGGATACCCTGAACCCTGAACCCTGAACATCAAATGCATACATATATATATTCTATTTTAGAAGCTATATGTCAAGTTTGGTGACTCTAGCTCTTATTATTTACCAAAATTGCCCAAAAACAAGATATCGATATCGATTTTTATCGATTGCATGGAAACGGAGTAAGTTATCGATAATCGGAAACAAACTCGATCTACTCAGGCACTTGGAACACCTACATCTAAAATTTCAAGAGTCTAGCTCTTATAGGTTCTGAGATCCTTGCGTTCATACATACGGACGGACGGACAGACGGACAGACGCACGGACGGACAGACGGCCATACAGACAGACAGACATGGCTAGATCGACTCGGCTATTGGTGCTGATCAAGAATATACATACTTTATGGGGTCGGAGATGCTTCCTTCTGCCTGTTACATACATTTGGATTTTGCACTAATACAATATACACTTATACCCATTTTTAATGGGCTCAGGGTATAAAAAGCCGAATTATCGGCAATGAGAAAATGTTACCTATGCCTTCGATCTCGAAGACACGGTAAACCCAGAATGAAGCTTATAAGTGTCGATCTGTCGGTTAGTTACGATACAACATGCACAAGTACTCCTCTTAGTGTGCACCTCCATCAAATAAGGTAACCTTCAGTCAGGATATTTATAATTGCGTACTTACCTGTATGAGTGTAAATTACACGTACATTTCTTTTATTGTCATTTAACCGTAGGCGGGAAACGAATTTTTATTTTACATCACTGAAAGAACAGAAAAGCAGAGAAAGTATTTAACTTAAGAACGCAGCTAGCTTGATAAACCTTATTTGAATTAGTGAGAATCGCTTAGTAGAGCAATATTTATAAATAAATTCATATACATAAAAAAACATGCATACATACGATTGAAATAATTGTTACTTTTATTTTCAATGTTTCAATGGCCAAATTAAAATTTGCTGCCGGCTCCTCCGCTAAAACCATAGCCACTTCCTCATACATAGTTAAATCCGCCTCCTTCATTGTTCAATCTACCTTTTCCATAGTTAAAGTCGCCGTCTCCTCCTTTGCTGCCACCACCTCCAATACTAAACCCACCGCCTCCTCCTTTGCATAACTAGCCGCCTTCTCCATTGCTGGAGCTGTCGTTTCCTCCTTTGTGTAAGTTGCCCCCTCCTCCATTGTAAAAGCCGATCCGTTGCCGATGCTGTCGTTTCCTCCATAGTTATGCCAGCCGCCTCCTTCATAGTTAAGGTCGCCGTCCCCTCTTTTGCCGCTACCACCTCCAATACTAAAGCCGCCGCCTCCTCCTTTGCGTAAGTTGCCGCCTCCTCCGTTGCTGAAGCTGCCGTTTCCTCCATAGTTAAAGCTTCCTCCTCCAATATCATATGATACTTAATTTATGAGAGTCGCGTAGTAGGGAACAAGTTAAAAGTAGAATTTTTATATATATTTACCAACATACATACACACATACATTCCTAGACACATTCGTGTACAAATGTATACACACACATATACACATTTTTATACATAAATATATATGTACATACGGTGACATACACACATGCGTCCGTACACACAAACATACAAAGCTATAAACATAAGCATATAAGCATATATGCAAACGTATATACATACACAATTACTTACATATACATATAGATAAACACAAACATAAATACACAAATACATACAAACATAAAAATATACTCACATACATATGCGTATGTATGTAAAAACGCATGTGCGTCGTTTTATATATGTATTGAATATATATTTGTATGTATGTTTGATTGTATGTATATATAAATACATATTTTTTGGTCGAAATTCATGTCAAAATCTTACCCCAAGATTCGTATCTTTGTAGATATGGGTCTTAACTTCTACATAAATCGACCAAATCTCATCCGATTTGTACGATAAATTTTATACCCTGAACCCATTAAAAATGAGTATAAGGGTATATTGTAACAGGCAGAAGGAAGCATCTCCGACACCTTAAAGTATATATATTCTTGATCTGCACCAAAATCATACCGCAAGATTCGTTTATAATCATGGGTCTAAGCTTCCCATTCCCATAACTTGGTTAAATCTCATCCGTTTTTTACGTTGGTTGCCTTTCTCATTTCCCTCTAGAATAATCTCTTGTTCAAATTTGAATACATATTTTTACTCGAAATTCATGTCAATATCTTACCCCAACATTCGTATATAAATATAGGTATAAACTTCCCATTGCCATGACTCGGTTAAATCTCATCTGGCTTTTACGATGTTTGTATTTTGAAACCCTGAACCCATTAAAAATGAGTGCAAGGGTATATTGTATTTGTGCAAAATGCAAATCTATGTAACAGGCAGAGGAAAGCATCGCCGACCCCATAAAGTATATATATTCTTGATCAGCATCAATAGCCGAGTCGATCTAGCCATGTCCGTCTGTCCGTCCGTCCGTCTGTCCGTCCTTCTGGATGTCCACATGTCCGTCCGTCCGTCCGTCTATATAAACACAAGGATCTCAGAACCTATAAGAGCTAGACTCTTGAATTTTTAGATGTAGGTGCTCCTACTGTCTGCGCAGATCAAGTTTGTTTCCGATAATCTATCACTTACTCCGTTTCCAAGCAACCGATAAAAATCAATATCCAGTAATCGATATCCAGTTTTTTAGGCAATTTTGGTAAATAATAAGAGCTAGTCACCAAACTTGACATATAGCTTCTAAAATAGAATATTTATATGCATTTGATGTTGGAAGAAGAGGGTTTAGGGTATCCCCTAGTCAGGAGCTCCCGACTAGAACCTCTTACTTGTTCCTAATGGTTTTCCCTCTAGAATAATCTATCATTCAAATCTGAATATGTTAAAATCTTACCGCAAGATTCGTATGTATACAAGGGTCTAAGCTTTCCATCCGCATAAATCGGCCAAAAATCATCAGATTTTTGATATTTTTTTTCCTTAATGTTTTCCCTATGGAATAATCTCTCATTCAAATCTGAATACATATTTTTCAGCCGAAATGCATGTCAATATCTTTCCGCAATATTCGTATAAATACATGGGTCTAAACTTCCCATCCCCATAAATCTGCCAAATCTCATCCGACTTTTACGATGTTTGTGTTTTTCTTAATGGTTTTCCGTCTAGTATAATCTCTTATTCAAATTTGAATACATATTTTTCAGTCGAAATTTTTGTTAAGGTCTTACCGCAAGACTCGTATATATACATGGGTCTAAACTTTCCATTCCCATAACTCAGTCAAATTTCATCCGATTTTTACGTTGTTTGCCTTTCTCTTTATGGTTTTCCCTCTAAAATAATCTCTTATTCAAATCTGAAAACATATTTTTTAGATGAAATTTATGTCAAAATCTAACCGTAATGTTCGTATATATACATGGCTCTAAATTTCTCATCCCAATAAATCGACCAAATCTTATCTGATTTTTACGACGTTTGTCTTTTTCTTAATTGTTTACCTTCCACAATAATCTGTCATTCAAATCTGAACACATATTTTTTAGTCGACAATCATGCAAAATCTTACCGCAATATTCGTATATAGACGTGGGTGCAAACTTCACATGCCCATAACTCGGTCAAGCCTCATCCGATTTTTACAAGGTTTGGCGTTTTGTTCACGGGTTTCCCCCTTGAATAACTGGGGAATCAAATCTGAATACATATTTTTTAGTCGAAATTCATGCCAAAATGTCTCGGTCAATTATCATCCGATTTTTACGAGATTTGGCTTTTTGCATCTGGGTTTGCCTCTATACTAATCTGGCATTAAAATCTGAATACATATTTTGACCTTGGCTTTTTTTATAGTTTGGCCTCATAAATAATCTGGGGTACCGTCAAATGTTCTATCTAGTCATAAGACAAAATTTCACTACCCCATAACTTGGTCAATTCTTATCCGAATTTCACGAGGTTTATCTCTTTGGCCAGGGCTTGGCCTTTAAATCAATTAATTAATGATTGAGGCATCCAAAGCTGGAAATATTATTCTGGTTTTTGACTTATCCGATTTATTTCATAAGAACTTAATGAATACCTGTTTCAGCAATTTGGGAAAGCATTTGAAATTTACTTACCGTCCGATCGGGCTTAAACTGATTAATTTGATTTATAAACATATATATACACATAATAATATTTATATATATATACATATATTGTGTATGCATGTATGTACCGCACAATTACTTGTTAAACAAAATCTTCACCCTTTCAATGTTGTTCTCTCTCTCTCGACCTCTCTTTCCCTCTCTGTATGTGGCATATGCATGTGCTCACGCCAATTTGCCTTTTGTCAATAAAGTTCAGCCACAAAATGTAAGCGACAAATAACTTGCCAATAGAAAAATAAACCAGTAGAGGTTAATGAAAATTTGCAAACACACACACAATACGAACCAAACGCATTTAACTTTACACATTTAATTTAAATCTGTTAAAAATCGACATTAAATTTATTTAACACGCGCCGAGGACGCGACCGATCATTAGGAAAGAAGGGTATAGACTAAATTGCCCCATTGCACCTACGTTAAGCCGACATTAACACTAATACCATAAAAATTGAGAGCACAAACGCAAGCATATTTTACTGCCTGAGAAGTAAGATAGCGAGATCAAAATTATTACAGCCAATAGCAACCGTACAGTACATATGTCGGGAGCTTCCGACTAGGGAATACCCTGAACCCTCTTATTCCAACGCCAAATAAATTAAACATTTAAAAAATTAAATTACCCTGAACCCTCTTCCAACATCAAATGCATATATATATTCTATATTAAAAGCTATGTGTCAAGTTTGTTGACTCTAGCTCTTATTATTTATTTTTGATTGCTTGAACAGGGAGTAAGTTATCGATTAACGGAAACAAACTAGATCTGCGCAGGCACTAGGAGCACCTACATCTAAAACTTCAAGTCTCTAGCTCTTATAGGTTCTGAGATCCTTGCGTTCATACACGGACAGACGGGCAGACAGACAGACAGACATGGCTAGATCGACTCGGCTATTAGTGCTGATCAAGAATATATATATTTTATGGGGTCGGAGATGCCTGTTACATACATTTGGATTTTGCACAAATACAATATACTCGTATACCCATTTTTAATGACTAAAGTGTCAACGCATAGGCCATGCCGTGTGGTGTACGGGGTGGGAAGTGGGGGATTGGGGTTTTGGGGAGTGCGAAGGATGCACTAACGTGTGGTCCCCAATAGAACGGACTTGCATATACATTTGTATCTGATGTTGCTACGAATTACAAAGTATACAATTATTAGAAATACGTTCTTCTTAAGGGCCACTTTGGTGCATTATATGTTTTAATGAAGGTTGGTCAGATTTCTAACATATAGTGCATAGACCTAGACCTGCCCTCAATACTGCAAATACACATGCAGCCTGTGCTTCCGCTAAGCAACACTTCCGATCCGACTGAAAATGGTGTTCCAGTTAGATGAGCAACGACATCAGCATTCATTGAGTATGCCGGCAATAGTGGGATAAACAATAGCGCCCCCGTAAACCGCAAGCTACGATTGAGTCAATTTTTATCATTGTGTCTGTGACCAATAATAACAATGCGCGACAACCGGCCGTTGCCATGACAATCGGGCACCCCAGATGGGGGGATTGTGCTTTAATTATGGCACATGGGAAAGCACAGTAGAGCTTGAGCTTCCCAGTGGTTATCAGTTGAGCGGTATTCTATTTAAAGCACGTTGTTAGTACGGAGTACGGAGTGTTAATACCATTTACTTACACAAAAATATACTGTTGCATACGTTTATATATAGGTGTGTATTTTTTTCAAATGTTTAATACACAATTTATTAACTACTTTTAAACATCTACCCCATCTACTAAAACTAACTCTATAAGCAGAGTGAATCAATAAAGGTGTTAATAGGCTGAGTTAAAAATGTATTCTTTCGGAATCTTATCAAAAATTTCATTACTTCTGCTGATGCTTTTCGTAGCATCTCGGTTGTGTGTGCTCTCTCTACCAGCCTTGGAGAATTCGTATCACTGCAGGTTCATGGATGATTGCGACCCTTTTCTGCCTATCTGTGCCACATATTCAAATGAACACCAGTTTTTTTATAGCCACTGTGACATGTTGCGTGAGATATGCTTAACCGGCAAAGGTATTGTTTAAATACATGAATTCATACATCCAATTAATATATTGACCTATCATTTATACTTTATAGATTGGAAATCGGACTATTTTAGCCATTGTAATGTAAGCAAACTTTAAAAACAACGCTAACTGAACGCTAGCATATACTTAAACACTACAACATTTGCAAAACAAGTAAGAGGTTCTAGTCGGGAGCTCCCGACTAGGGGATACCCTGAATATCATGTTTGGTGACCCTAGCTCTTATTATTTATCAAAATTGCCCAAAAACAGGATATCGATATCGATTCTTATCTATTGCTTGGAAACGGAGTAAGTTATCGATTATCGGAAACAAACTCGATCTGCGCGGACACTAGGAGCACATACATCTAAAATTTCAAGTCCCTAGCTCTTATTGGTTCTGAGATCCTTGCGTTCATACATACGGACAGACGGACAGACAGACAGACGGACATGGCTAGACCGACTAGGCTGTTGGTGCTGATGAAGAATATATATACTTTATTGGGTCGGAGATGCTCCCTTCTGCCTGTTACATACATTTGGATTTTGCACAAATACAATATACCCTTTTACCCATTTTTAATTGGTTCAGGGTATAATAAATATTTTACAAGACTGATATTTTATAAATAAATGGAAATTAAGCCTCAAGGGTTTTCAAATTCAAAGTCAACCAATTTGCCCAGAAGACGGCTTGCCGATGTGCAACCGAAACACATCGGAAACAAAAATTAAATAAAATTAAATAAATTGAGCCAGCCAACGAATATTCTAAAATATGGAAAGGTCGCCAAAACCATCAATGAACACATATATGAATAAAATTGAGTTTAACATCTTTAAACAATTGATTTTAAATAAATTGAAAATCAAGGTAATCAATATGGCTTATAAAACATATTTTAAATACATTTACCAAACCCATTGGCTACAACATTGTTCTTTAATTTGTCGGCTATCTGTTTAAATCTGTACTTAAAGTTTGATTTGGGAGCATCTTGCTCAAGAGAAACACCAGTTATGTTTGTATATATATATATATATATATATATATATATATATATGTATATATATATATATATATATATATGTATATATATATATATATATATATGTATATGTATATATATGTGAGTTGAGCCCACCAGATAAACATCTCATTATGTCATAAGCTTAGAAAAATGTATTATTACCAACGGTTTACAAAAAAATACTATACTTTTGGCGCACCTTTAATATTTTCTGGCTGGTTTTCGGTCGTGGCCCCTTGTATGGATGATGGAGGCGTTGCAGTCTCAGCAGCAAGTTTGTTAGCCATATTTGCTAGCTTTTCTCGTCTAAATTCCTTACGTGCTTCATCCAGCAACACATTGTGTAATAGATTGCGAGTCTGATTGTTATCTGGCGTTAGCACTGGGAAGGGATTCCCACGGAGCTCCAGCACAGATTTTTTATAGTATATTCCAGGATATTCCCGCGGCGCTTTCAACATGCGTGTGTAGGATAAGTTAGAGTTTTCAAATCGTGGTACTAACACCTTAAATAGTTTATGTACTAGTTGCTTGTCCAACAGCCAATAGTCCGCAAGATTCATAGTTGCTTTATGTCGGTCGCCGTACCGTATTGCATTTGAGATGAGCTATACGGAATTGGTAACTTGTAAATTCGTAAAATAAAACGCATTTCGTCCTTACCAGTTCTGCATACCCACGTGCCTCATCTGCTCGATTGTAAAACAATTCAATGCGTTCGTGTTTCACCAGCGCCGTGACAGTTTTCCGTAGCTTGAGCAGCCGGCCTTCTGGACCATACACGTTTTTTAAATGCCGTTTGTTTGGCCGCACTGCAATTCGCAACTGTGATATTAACTTGCTAACGTCGGCTTGATTCATTTTTAAACCAGATTTTAATTCAACAAATTAAGGCTCACGTAACTCTTTAGCTAAACAGCTGTTAAACAATTTTAACATTTACTGAAATGTTATTAACATATGTTTCTGGAAATTTACCAATATCTATCGACTACTTCGATAGATAACACAACGCAAATCAGCAACTGAGCATTTTGAGCGAAATTCATTTAAAAAAACAAAACAGCATAATGCGTATGTATGACTTTTTTATTCTTGGATTTATACCTTAAGCTATGTGCTGTAGAATGCCCTGGCGTACCAGTGGCTCTACCTGTGCGCGGGGCAAGTAATGTTGACTATTCTTCTTCAAATGTACCACCTCGCCATCATCCAACTCGAACTTGCCATAATTCTCTACGCAACGCACCTCGATATAAAGAGATTTTGGCGGGCGTAAGTTGCCTGTCAAGTCAATGCCTTGCCCATCGCCTACGGAACGCATATATGAAGCTAATGACTTGGAATAGTTATTAAAAAATTGCACTTCTGGATCACAAAGTGCCTGTTTGATATCACTTGGTATAATTGGACCGAACTCCCATCGCATGGCTTTGATGCGCTGCATTCGCTCATACAGGTAAGCCAGGAGACAGCGTTTATTCCGCTGAAGAGCTGCGTGTCTATAGTTAAGAAGGGGCCACAAACTACGATCTCCAGAGTTGTTATAGCTAGACGCCTGCGCCACATTCTCCTCGAAAATAGCCTTTATCTCCTCCAATACCTGACGTACGCCGTCGTCGTCAAAGGCTGGTATAGTTTGAGCCGATCGTTTAAGATCCTTAAGTAAATCGAAGGCATTATCGCCAAACATTTGGTTTGAACGGCTCATCTTTGTTTATAAAGCGATATGTACTAGTAGTTCCCGCTTTATTTTAGCAATGCTAATAGTGATTAAATCGATTACTATCGATTAGTATCAATTTGTCATTTTAGGCACTTTTTATAGTTATATTTGAGTAAACAAAGTAACATATTAAATAAAATTCTATATATATATTTATATATATGTATATATATATATATATATATTTATTTATATTATATATTTATATATATATATATATATATATATATATATATATATATATATATATATTTACTTTATATAACTCAATATATCTACACCGTTTAATTCTACCTTATCTTAGGGCACCTAGTATTTTGTCGGTGGAATTCACATTATCCAATTGGTATTTTTCGTCGATAAGAGTGGTATCTTGGACATTTGTATATTTGGTCACACAGCTTACTAAGCAGTGAAAATTCTGAGGTGATTGTATTGTGTGGTGTGTTCATACCCAATTAACTTAATTAAGTTAAACACAGTGTTAGGCGCACTTTAAACAAACGTGAGGAAATCAACCCGCTTACTAAAAAAGCCACGTATAACGGCCCGCCGGTAAAACCCGCACCTGTACGGAAATATGGCAACCGCAGCTAACACGACAGCTGGAGCAGCAAAAGACGGTGCGCCTTCAGCTAATGCACTAACGCCTGCCAAGACTTTATCCGGCATTGTGAAACAAGTAAGTGTACAGTTTAAGTGATCTTCAGGCTGAGTGCTTTTTAACGCAAACTCGTTAACTTGGATATTGTTCGTATATAACGAATAAAAAATTTGTGATTATCGGCGTGGCAATGCCACTCAAGCATGTGCGAAAGAGATGCTCATATAGGCAAGTTGTGTGAGAGTGACACGTCAAACAGGGTTACACATTCATACAATGGCTGAACAGCATAATGTAAAAAAACGAAAGTTTTCGAAGTGCCAACCTGGCATATTTTCTTGCTCAGCAGTGCTTACTTAATGAACTGCTTATATTCATTTACTTATAACGCGTGCATACGTGCTTCGGGCGTTCTGTTGCTGTTGCCCTGGTTTCCATGAGCGCCGTCGTCAGCGCCAAATTGCCGGCGTTTTAAAACATGCGTTTTTATCACACACACATAGTCACCAGTTTTCTTGCCGTACGGTACGGTTACTACAAAACTTCGTTTCTAACCTAGAAAACGCTTGCACAGGCGCACAATTTACAATATGCCCGTATATAAAAAATATATATATATATATTAACATACATACATATATACATTTATATATTATGATAACTTTCAAATATTTCTTTTATATGTGGTCAACCATTTGAGTGCACTTCGTGTTTTGTATGCTTTCCAGTTTGACCCTTAACACGTATTCATAAATCCATACATAATAAGTACGTGGTAGAATTTGACAATACGCACACATAGTAGCCACCAATGGCGATTATCAAAAGTTATCAATTGCAATTGTGAAAATCCGACTTAACAAGTGATGACGTTGCATACACATCTTGGCGACACAACTTGCTAGTTCCCTTCTTTGGCATAGTCCAATGCTGCGTCAACATTCCACTTTTTCAGTTGTGCACTTATAGGTGAAAGACCTGTTGATATTTAAAATGCCGCCGCATGCCAACACCTGTTTCCCTGCTCAGTGTGTGTAAGCGAATACGCTATAGAATATGCTAACGTTATCAATCCTTGCTTACGTTTACATGTGGCTTTATTAAAATACAAGAGTATGACATTCGACTTCAATTGGACAAGTAACCATAAGCAGATTAACAATTTTTCTTGAAAATATCACGTTTTACTTTTGAATGGGTTCCTTTCGACATCAAATAAAACAATTAACACTTTTTAGGGAAGCCGTTTGCATTTTTGCCTATTTTATTCATTTTTTCTGTATATGTAGATAGCGAAAGTTGCTACACAACCAATTTGAAATTGTTATAATGAAATATTCCAACGAATCTCAAAACATGTCATTCAAAATTAAGTAGTGAAAAAACAAAACATCTTGGATATGTTCTCCAGGTAGAATTTAGCCTTATCATAAATTAACCATGGTCACACTAATTTGTGGTAGCCCTGTGAAACACCACACATGCGCCATCTGTCGGGAAATTTATTATCTAAAACACGTGTTTTATTTTTGTCTAAAGAGTTGATTTAATTTTAACCTCATTGCTTGTTTGGCGCGTGTGTATTTCAGGTTCTCTCAGGAGACACTGTTGTTATACGCGCGACTAAAGGTGCCCCTCCACCGGAAAAACAAATAACTTTTTCGCATGTGCTTGCACCTAAGCTGGCGCGCCGGCCTGGCGCTGGCGGCGACGAGACCAAGGACGAACCCTGGGCTTGGGAATCGCGCGAGTATTTGCGCAAAAAATTGATTGGCGTAGAAGTGACCTTTACCTATGATAAACCCGCCAATTCCAACCGTGAATACGGTTTCGTGTGGGTCGGCAAGGACAAAGAAACTGGTGAGAACGTCGTTGAGTCCATTGTGCGTGAGGGGCTCGTAACAGTCCGCCGTGAGGGTCGTCCTACGCCAGAGCAGCAGACGCTAATTGAACTGGAGGATCAGGCACGTGCTGCCAACCGTGGCAAATGGGCGCATAACGTGAACGCTGCGGACAAAGTGCGGAACATTAAATGGGCCCATGAGAATCCAGCGCATATCGTTGATATCTATGGTGGCAAACCTGTTAAGGCAATCATCGAGCATGTGCGCGATGGCTCAACTGTGCGTGCCTTTCTGCTCCCCGATTTTCACTATATTACGCTCATGATATCAGGTATTCGCTGCCCAGGTGTTAAATTGGACGCCGATGGCAAACCTGACCTCAGCGTCAAGGTTCCCTTTGCTGATGAGGCTCGTTACTATGTGGAGACACGCCTACTTCAGCGTGATGTCGAAATTAGGCTTGAGTCTGTTAACAACTCTAACTTTATTGGCACGATTTTATACCCCAAGGGCAACATTGCTGAATCGCTGCTGCGCGAAGGTTTGGCCAAGTGTGTGGATTGGTCAATGGCTGTGATGAAGACAGGTGAGGAGGTCACATGCAGTACAGAGATCCTAATTGGCAGCAGGGTTGACGTACGCGGCGCCCTTTGGGCTTAAGCCTTTTGCTGCGCTGCGTTATTATTAACTGCCTGTTGCCAGATTAAATCGACGGACTCCAAGAATACAATGACTGATTTATTGCCATTGCGTTCATTTCACCCCGTCTACAAGAATCTCAATAATTACAAACTTAAATCAAATTAGATTACATATACATTTATTCACTTATTTATAGGAGCTGACAAGCTGCGAGCTGCCGAACGCATCGCCAAGGAAAAGCGTCTACGTCAATGGCAGGATTACCAAGCGAAAACGCCTACTTTCAACTCAAAGGAGAAGGATTTCACAGGCACCGTTATCGAGGTTTTCAACGGTGATGCTATCAACGTGCGCCTGGCAAATGGTCAGGTGAAGAAGGTATTCTTCTCTTCCATTCGTCCACCACGTGACCAACGTGCTGTAGTTGGGACAGATGGTGAAGAAATCGTGAAAGCTCCGCCACGCGGCAAAAACTATCGTCCACTTTATGAAATTCCGCACATGTTCGATGCGCGTGAGTTCTTACGCAAAAAGCTTATTAACAAAAAAGTGCAGTGCAATCTCGACTACATCTCCCCACTGCGCGATAATTTTCCGGAAAAGCACTGTTACACTGTTCTTATCGGTGGACAGAACGTGGCCGAGGCAATGGTGGCAAAGGGTCTTGCGACGTGTGTACGCTACCGTCAGGATGATGACCAAAGGTCATCAGCCTACGATCAACTGATTGCCGCCGAGCAGCAAGCTATTAAAGGTCTAAAGGGCCTTCACGCCAAGAAGGATAATGCGACGCTGCGTGTAAACGATCTGACTGTCGACCATTCCCGCATAAAGGTGCAATACTTGCCTTCCTGGCAACGTGCTTTGCGCACAGAAGCCATCGTTGAGTTTGTTGCCAGCGGATCACGCTTGCGCTTGTACGTACCGAAAGACAGTTGTTTGGTTACCTTCCTACTCGCTGGCATATCGTGCCCACGTTCTTCGCGTCCTGCTCTCAATGGCGTCCCAGCACAGGAAGGTGAACCCTTTGGGGACGAGGCACTCACGTTTACACGTGAGCGGGTGTTGCAGCGTGATGTTTCCGTGCATATTGACACCACGGATAAAGCGGGCTCTTCAGTTATTGGCTGGTTATGGACTGATCAAAATGTCAACCTATCAGTGGCCCTTGTCGAAGAAGGACTAGCTGAGGTCCACTTTAGTGCCGAGAAATCTGAGTACTACCGACTCCTCAAGAGCGCCGAAGATCGTGCCAAGGCTGCCAAAAAGAACATTTGGGCTAACTACGTAGAACAAGTGCCTGAAGAGAAGGTCGTCATTGAAGAGGATAAGGATGAGAAGCTTCCGGTAGAACGCAAAGTGAACTATGAAAATGTAATCGTCACTGAGATCACCGAATCGCTGACGTTCTTCGCCCAATCCGTTGACAACGGTCCTAAGTTGGAGACATTAATGAGCAAGTTACACGCCGATTTTCAGGCTAATCCGCCTATAGCCGGCTCGTATACACCCAAGCGAGGCGACTTGGTAGCTGCCCAGTTCACCTTCGACAATCAATGGTATCGCGCTAAAGTAGAACGCATTCAAGGCAACAACGCTAGTGTCCTGTACATCGACTACGGTAATAAGGAAGTAAGTATAGAGATCGTTATTAAAATCAGTATTCACTGCAAGCTCCTTAGATCCGTTTCCGTCTCAAAGCGAAACGCATGAGTCATAAGTTTGCCACATAAACAATGCTCATCTGTTCGACTATAGCTGCGGTTTTGAAGTGGTGTACACCAAACTCTACAACAACCCTAAGTGTGTTTATTTTTAAGGCGCGTTGGTTTACACGCTAAGCTAAGACTAAGCGGTTGAGCCATATTTTTTGGAACAGCCGTTGTTCATTGCGAGTGTAATTCCGCGAGTTCCATATGAATATAACACGTACGTTGTTGGGGGCACCCAAGACATAGCGCAGCGACAGTCAACAATGTGCGACATTACCACATTAATTATATTTAAATAGATAACCGTTCTTAATCATTTTTTTCAACGTAATTTAGACTCTTCCTACAAGCCGGTTGGCTGCATTGCCCCCCGCCTTCAGCAGCGAGAAACCCTATGCTACCGAATATGCACTTGCCTTAGTCGCTCTGCCAGCAGATAATGAGGATAAAGAGGAAGCCTTGCGTGCCTTCTCCGACGATGTGCTGAACCACAAGGTGCAGTTAAATGTTGAGTTGAAAGTTGGCGGTGGTCCCCACCTAGCCACTCTACACGATCCAACAACGAAGACGGACTTTGGAAAGCAGCTTGTTGCAGATGGGCTTGTGCTGGTTGAGAAAAGACGTGAGCGTCGACTAAAGGAGCTTTTGGAGCAGTATAGGACTGCACAAGATGCTGCATTGGCTGCCCATTTGGCCATTTGGAAGTACGGTGACATTACGCAGGATGATACGCCTGAGTTCCGCTAGAATACGGCTCAAAGCGTGCTGCAGTAGGCAGGCGGCGTGTGGAGCGCGCGCTGCTGGCTGAAATGTTTGTCTGCCACATACCCGCCCTTTATACATTACAACAACAAGCAACAACTTAATGAATATGAAATTACTAATTCTATAAACACACCAATTTATATACATATAAAAATATATGATGCGTATAACCAGATTAGATACATTTGAGAAACAAAACAATATGGAATGGAGGAAAGGTTAAAACTTGAAACATTTGTATGCTTTAAGCAGCTGGCAAACCGTTGTGCATTCGGTTTTGCGGTTTTTAAAACATTACTAATTCTTTAAAAACAAACAACGTAAACACGCAAATAAAAACTAGCAGCAATTGACCATTTTGTAAACGGTTAACTTCCAATAAAATAGAATCAAAGTAAAGTCAAGTTAAATTTTTTTGCATGCGTAAAGTTTTTCTATTTGTAAGCCTAAGCAAAAAGTTAGAACTTGGTTGTTTTAATTTCGCTGATTTTGTGTTATGGTAATTTTTTGAATTTACTGATTAAATAAAAACATTTAAATCATTTTTATACAAAAATTACAACTATTCGCTTTTTTTACTTCGCTCAAGCATATCTATCTTTTCTATTACCGATTCAATGTTGAACTCATCTGGCGCTTTTAGCCCCTTTAGTCTGTCCAGAAGGCCCTTCGATTTGCCGTCCATTTGAGTAATATTGCGCTGCAGTGCGGTAGCCGATATCAAGCGCTTGCTAACTGTACTTGTAAATCTGCATGTGTGTTTTAAATTAAAGTGGGTATTTAATAATAAAATGCCATACCTGTCCAATGCGGTTATTTCTTTGTCCGCCTCTTTTATAGAACTTCTCAGTTTTTTCAATGTGGCCGATTGCTCTGCAACATTGAGTTTGCTTTCGATATTTTCGCGCTTTTTTGTATAATAAAATTCACGTAGAAAGTTTATGTTAAGATCGTTTAATTGCCCGTCTGCCTGAATTTCCACACACTTGTCCAGCAACATCAATACGTCGTCCGGCAAATCGCATACTTCGAAGCTGATAAGTTTCAGCATCTGTTCCAAGTGTTCTCCTATGATAATTGTTAATACTTGTGGCTATGGGCTTGTTAAATCCGTTTACATACCTAAATTTTTCAAAGCTTTTATTTCATCTTGAAGTTTTAAATTGTCTGATAATGAGAAGTGTGTGAATTTTAAACACGAAATTGCTTTAAAAAATATCATATGCACCCATTTTAAAGAACTGGACAATCAGACCCACAGCTTATCCTTTTAAATTGACACTTTGACGTTTTAAAAAGATTCAGATAAGGAAGATGTAATCTTCTTTTTATTTGATGCCAAATGTATCCAAATTTTGTTTGTGTTTAATTATAACTGGCTAGATGAAGTTACCACAGAACTATCGATTGTATATAATCAGCACTGGCGACACTAAATGTAACAATAAAAAATACGAAACAAGGTTCAAATTTGTACTAAAAATTAAATTGTTGTAATTAACCAGACAAGGAAGCATTATTTGTTAAAGTGTCGTAAGTATAAATGGAAACTAAGCTGAATAACACGATGTAGATATGCCCCTGTTATCGATTTAAATACGAAGATTACGTTTTATCATCCCTATTACAGTTGCTAAACATGGTCGTGTAAAGGGAAAAAAGGTTGTGCACTGCGTCGGTCCGTTCTTTGACGGTGAACTAGAAGTATCATGACGTCACATTCTTAAAGGCTGTTTAAACGGTTTCTATTCGATTTATTATAAATAAATAAATTTATAAGTGTTGCATTTCCGATTATTTTTATAAAAATTTAAGAAAAAATGTTAACAATTTAAAATTATTTAAACTAAGCACACAGTTCTTAAGATGTGACATCATGCGCAGTGAGAGCCAAATATTGGTCATTTACGGCATACCCGTGTTTCTCTCATTCGTAGTTTCTACTTTTTCTTTGTTTATATATACGCGTTTGTCGGTGCGGTTGCTGTTAGGGCTATTTCACATAGGGTGATGTGTTAATTTGCGCCAGCATAATGCAAAATATTAAGTTAAATGTGAAAAAATTATTGCATTAAGTACTAAGCTTCGACGAAATACCAGCCTCGTTAATTTTATCTAATAATGTATTGCAAATCGATCGAGTTTTAGAAACAAAGTTGCAAAGTAGCGGTGTGTGTATGCCTGTGCGCGTGTGTATGTTAAGTTACATACTTTTATATGTACATTGTTATGTACTAACATAAAACTCCAGCCATTTAGAAAAACAACAGCGGTACACAGCAAAAATGTCTGCGACGGCTGCCAACTTTTTGGGGATGGACCTTGTTTCATCGCTACCATCTGATGTACGCGAAAAGTTGGCCGAATTGGATTTAGAGTTATCTGAAGGTATCATTCTGAACCGTATACGGACAACTTAAACATGTTGCTACGTAATAGACTAATAATCAATTTCCTATGGGGTAATTCTATTCCTTGCCTCTTTCTCATGGCCCAACATAAAAAATCGAATGTATATCTGAAGCATGATGTAGTAGTAGTCTATTATGGGTCATGTCTGCATTCCAACTAATACTTGAAGCAGTAAGTTTGAGCACTGCAGATACAGCTACTGTTGTAGATAAAGAGGCAGACAAAAACGGGGGGTCTTTGTCATCGCGCCAACCCCGTTAACTGCTATTGATATAACGCGTGTGGTTGTGTGCGGTTTTGTGGGATAAACGACATGTGTCTGCATACACGTACATATGTGCAACACAAATGCGTTCATGCATACATACATGTATGTATTTACATATGTGCCTGCATGATTAAACATGTGCAAATAGTACATATGTGAATGCATATGACATGATACACATCTATTGAAATATCTACATAGAACAGATGGGGCTCCTAAATTTTTTAAAGAGGTAGATTAAACTCGTATGTGCATATAGATAGATAAATTCATAGCAAAACCAACTAACGGTATACATGGCATATATTATAGGTGTGGTTTATCTGCTTAAAGATAACTCAAGTTGAATGCTTATAAGCATGTCGATATGATTTTGGTATAAGTTATGAATATTAAGTGTATAAAGTGTAATTATTTAAATTTGTTTAAATACAAAACCCTTTACAATAAATTTTTTCTTTAGCTTAATATAACGACCATTTCAGATATCGGTATTTGTTTGGTTTAATTTATATACATATATGAATAGATGTTCACATAGTGGTAATTCGTATGTACATATGTACATACATATACCAGTCATGTCAATCACAGCCTTTAATTCAAATGAGCATATTTTGTATATGTTTAGGTGACATTACCCAAAAAGGATACGAAAAGAAACGGTCAAAGCTATTGCAACCTTACCTGAAGAAACAGGAATGTAAGTAATCTTAGCATGTGTATGCTAACATTGGTTTGGAAATATAAATATATTAATGGGAGCAACGTGATTCTTAATAGTAAACGATGTGGAGAAATCAAAGAACTTGCTGCCACCGCCATACTACAATATTAAAGAGTCCAACAATAGCATCAGCAACGTAAACAATGATGGCGTCATTGTCTCTAGTGAGGGGTATAGTTATGTGACTGAAGTACCTTCATTGCCCTCATCACAACAAAGGCATTCCAAAAAAACAGAATTTCACCAGCCGAGCTCAGCCATATCAATATCATCGTCAACGCCTCAGAGCGGAGGTGGTGTACCTGGTTACGAGAATATGCGACCGCAAGGCGGTGCAGTAGGAGATCCCGGCTATCAAAACACACGTGAGCCAAACACCTTTCAAAACCATGCATCACATCCCCCAACAAATAGCAGCCAAAATCGACAACGGCGAACACAACGTAAAGTAACGCACAATGAGAAGCGATATCATTCCGGTAGATCTACTATAATAAACGGTATATTACAACATGGAATTGACACATATTTTTTTTATAGAGGTTAGACAGGAAGCTGTGCAACAGGCACTGGCTGCGCTTAAAGGTCGCCCAAAGCCTAGCTTGCCAATGCCCTCAAAACGGAGTTCCGTGCTTAATCGCAGCCCTGGATGTAACGATGAATTGGACTCATCCAGTGATGACGAATCGATACCAGAGGAGCTTATTTCACCGGACAAGGAATATAATTATCCACGGGATCATATAAGTAAAAATATGCTGCCTCCGGATCCAATCATTAAGCCACCAATACGTGAATCATCGATGATCGCACAGCAACAGCACTTACGGCATGATGTCAAACAATCTCAAGCGCCAAGTCAAAAATATAGTTTGTCGGGCAGCGCAGCCGAACGACGTCCACCGCAGATTTTGCCGCCTCTGGTGGGTTTACAAGTGCTAAGAATAGCATTCTGCTTGCAATTATTATTAATTTTGATCAATTATTGCGAAGAGCTCTATTTGTGCTCTGACTGGTAATAGTTAATAATATATACATTGATTATCTATCATCGCGGTAGATCATCATAACAAATGTACACGCACATAATAAGTGCTTTCTTTTTATGAACTGTATATACTTTTTATTTTTTACAAGTTAATTGTTTAATTGTAATTTATATGGCCAGCCTACATCGGACACTTCGAGCACAGAGTCACCACCAATTGGATATAAAAGGGATAATGAATTTACTGATAAAGCTTATAAACAGAAGCATTGTAAGTATAGTGGTCGTTTACTTCTTTAATCGGAACCAATTATTAATTTATTTAATATTCCAAACAGTTAATGCACCAGACATAACCCAGTTTAACAACGCTCATCGCATTGCAGACCGAGTTACACGTTATGTTAACGTCTCTCAAACAGAGCTTAATGAAACAGATGCTAATGGAAAGTGGAAAGTATCGGCCAAGATTCAACAGTTGCTAAATACGCTTAAAAGACCCAAACGACGGCCGCTACCCGAGTTCTATGAGGACAATGACATCGAGCTTGAGATTGCTGCTAATCCCAAGGATCCGAATGCACCCAAGCCCGAGGGCAGCACCATGACCCCGGTGCAAGGGGAACAACTTTCTATACCAGCTGGCTTACCACGTACATTAGAGTGTGCACTTCAACGCTATGGAATGAATTCATTTAAAAGCTCGATGGCTACGGTATTAGATCCTAACGGTAAAATAACCACAACCCTTACATATGGGAAACTACTTTCGCGTGCACAAAAAATCGCTTATGCGCTATCTACAAAGATATTCAGTAAAGGACCCGAACAGGTCACACTAAAACCAGGAGATCGTGTAGCCCTAGTGTATCCAAATAATGATCCCTTAAGGTGAGATTAAGGATACAATTTTTTTATGCGGCATTAATATTCTTGAGTATTCTTTAGCTTCATAACTGCGTGGTATGGATGCATGTTTCGTGGTTTGGTGCCCTTGCCAATTGAGTTACCGCTTTCAAGCTCGGACACTCCACCACAGCAAGTGGGATTTTTACTTAGTTCATGTGGTATAACCGTGGCACTCACCTCAGAGGCATGTTTAAAGGGTCTGCCCAAGTCTGCAACTGGTGAGATAGCGAAACTAAAAGGCTGGCCAAGATTACAATGGTTTGTTACTGAGCATTTGCCCAAACCACCCAAAGACTTTAATGTAGGCAATTTGCGCGTTGAAGACACGGCAGCTGCGTATATTGAGTATACTACTGATAAAGAGGGCAGTGTAATGGGTAAGTTTATAATAAAAATGTTACATTACAAATTCATACGGAATATATTGTTTTTATTGTACAATATTCCAGTAATTGGCATATAGTCGCAAGAAAAATACTAAGCTGCCCTTCCTTGATGGATTCGCGTGCTTTGATTTTCTTATTTTTGCATCCTAAAGCATATTTAATCATAGTCACTTATAAACGAGTTGCTCACGAGATATAATTACTGCCTTTTTGGATAATATACTAACTTAGTATTCATATATATAATTTTTATACCAGGCATCACTGTTAGTCGCGCTGCCATGATAAATCACTGTCGTGCTCTGACAATGGCCTGTCATTACACTGAGGGTGAAACAATTGTCTGCGTATTGGACTTTAAACGAGAAGTTGGCTTGTGGCATGCTGTTTTGACGTCTATACTCAATGGCATGCATGTGGTGTTCATTCCCTATGCTCTGATGAAGCTGCGGCCCTCATCTTGGATGCAGTTAATAACAAAACATCGTGCGTCTTGCTGTCTCGTTAAGAGCCGAGATCTACACTGGGGTTTATTAGCCACTAAGGATCACAAGGATATATCATTAGCTTCACTGCGCATGCTGCTTATTGCCGATGGTGCCAATCCCTGGTCATTGTCATCATGCGATCAGTTTTTGAATGTATTCCAAGCAAAAGGTCTGCGATCGGATGCCATTTGCCCATGCGCCAGCAGCTCAGAGGTCTTTACAGTTTCTCTTCGTCGGCCAGGTCGCTCGTCTACCACCGGATTCTGTCAATCGGCTACTGGACGCGGCGTGTTATCCATGGCCGCCCTCTCGCACGGCGTTGTGCGTGTTGATAGCGAAGACTCTTTGACTTCCCTTACATTACAAGACTGCGGGCA